ACCCTGCTAATTTTAACCGTCGGTTAATCTAACCGGACTTGGTGAAATTGGCCCTAAGGGTTTCCGCGTAGTTTTCTCGCGTCTTTCTAGTAATGAAGTGATAACGCGTGTAGTGTGTCGTATTATCTTTAATAGAAACATTCTTTGCAACATTCTTTGATAGAAACATTCCTTGCAAATTTCTTCATATTTTTTTTTCTCGCTGGGGGGTACCTAACGATACCTCATATTTGATTGAACTATATACATTAGTGAGGATACGTAGCGCTTGCTTAGTGCGCATGCGCGACTTTATTCCTACGACAGCGCATCACTGCTGCGCAGAAGGTGACGAAAATTCGTCCGAGAAGATAGCACATCTTGTTACTTACACCATGGAAGAGGTTACAAAATTGGAACATCTATCTCTGGTGTCCAAAATCTGCACAGAATTGGAAAATCATCTTGGATTGAACGATAAAGATTTGGCTGAATTTATTATACATCTAGCTGAAAAGAACAACACGTTTGCAGCATTCAAGAAAGTATTGATTGAGAATGGAGCCGAGTTCTCAGACTCCTTTATGGCAAATCTTCTTAGAATAATACAGCATATGAAACCTGCTAAAACATCTGCCGAAAAGTCATCGAAACTTATAAATAAACAGGACGAAATGGCTTTGAAATTCCCTGCGCTGGCATTACCAAACAATGATCCGCAATATTCAGATATCAAAAATGCTAAAGATGAGGATATTGTTAACAATGTTATGGCTTCTTTAGAAGCATTTGCACCATCTAATAAAAAGCATTCTAGAGGTACTGAAAGAAATAATAGTAAGATTGATGGTTGTGAGAAGAAAGACAAACGGAGAAAAAGAAGCAGAAGCAGATCAAAGGCAGACGAGGACGAGAAGCATCTGCGTAATCCAGATAGGCCTACTTCCTTGTTAGAACTACAAGGTAATTACGACGAGGACGAGACGTACTCGAGAAAGCGCGTGCAACGTTTATCATCGCCAGAGAAGTGGGAGATTAAACAGATGTTAGCAGCATCGTGCATCGATAGGAACGAGTTACCAGAGTTCGACACGGAGACTGGGATTTTGCCGCGAGAGGACGACGAAGAGGAGGACGTGGAGATTGAGCTCGTCGAAGAAGAGCCACCGTTTCTGCACGGTCATGGTAGAGCACTGGGAGACCTTAGCCCTGTGCGAATAGTGAAGAATCCGGACGGCTCGCTGGCGCAAGCAGCGATGATGCAGAGCGCCTTAGCGAAAGAGCGGAGAGAGCAAAAGATGCTGCAACGCGAGCAAGAGATGGACTCTGTGCCCACTGGTCTGAATAAGAACTGGATAGATCCGTTGCCTGAAGCGGAAAGCCGTACACTAGCGGCGAACATGCGCGGCATCGGACTACAAACGCAAGATCTGCCCGAATGGAAGAAGCACGTGATAGGCGGTAAGAAATCTTCATTCGGTAAGAAGACCAACCTGACACTGTTGGAGCAACGTCAGACCTTGCCGATCTATAAACTACGCGATGATCTAGTGAAAGCGGTAACGGACAATCAAATTCTGATCGTCATCGGAGAGACCGGCTCGGGCAAGACGACACAGATCACGCAGTATCTAGCGGAGGCCGGTTTTACCGCACGCGGCAAGATTGGCTGCACGCAACCGCGCCGCGTGGCAACTATGAGTGTGGCCAAGAGAGTGGCAGAGGAGTTTGGCTGCTGTCTGGGCCAGGAAGTGGGCTATACTATCCGTTTTGAGGATTGCACCGGACCGGAGACTAGCATCAAGTACATGACCGATGGTATGCTGCTACGCGAGTGCTTGATGGACCTCGATCTGAAAACTTACTCTGTGATCATGTTGGACGAGGCGCACGAGCGCACGATCCACACAGACGTATTGTTCGGCCTGCTGAAACAGGCGGTAGGCCGTAGGCCCGATCTCAAGCTAATCGTCACTAGCGCCACCCTGGATGCGGTCAAGTTTTCGCAGTATTTTTTCGAGGCGCCAATCTTTACCATTCCCGGACGCACGTTTGAAGTTGAGGTGATGTACACGAAAGAGCCGGAAACAGATTATTTGGACGCCGCGCTAATCACCGTTATGCAGATCCATTTGCGCGAGCCGCCGGGCGATATCCTGCTCTTTCTCACCGGTCAAGAGGAGATCGATACAGCCTGCGAGATCCTTTACGAGCGCATGAAATCGCTGGGTCCGGATGTGCCGGAACTAATCATTCTTCCCGTTTATTCGGCTCTGCCATCGGAGATGCAAACTAGGATATTTGAGCCAGCACCGCCCGGCTCGCGCAAGGTCGTCATCGCAACAAACATTGCCGAAACTAGCCTGACGATTGACGGCATCTATTACGTCGTTGATCCCGGCTTCGTCAAGCAAAAAGTTTATAATTCCAAGACTGGTATGGATAGTCTCATAGTGACTCCTATAAGTCAGGCGGCAGCGAAACAACGTAGCGGGCGAGCCGGCAGAACCGGACCCGGAAAATGTTACAGGCTCTACACCGAGCGGGCTTATAGAGACGAGATGTTGCCCACGCCAGTGCCGGAGATTCAGCGGACAAATTTGGCCACCACCGTACTGCAACTGAAAACTATGGGTATCAACGATCTTTTGCATTTCGATTTTATGGATGCGCCGCCGGTGGAGTCACTGATCATGGCGTTAGAGTCGTTGCACAGCTTGAGCGCCCTTGACAACGAGGGTTTACTGACGCGGTTGGGTCGGCGAATGGCAGAATTTCCACTCGAGCCAAATCTATCCAAGATGTTGATCATGAGCGTGCATCTCCAATGCTCCGACGAGATCCTGACCATCGTTAGCATGCTATCCGTTCAGAACGTCTTTTATCGGCCGAAGGATAAGCAGGCTTTGGCCGATCAGAAGAAGGCCAAATTTAATCAGCCCGAGGGCGATCACTTGACCCTACTGGCGGTCTATAATTCCTGGAAAAATAATAAACTAAGTAATGCGTGGTGTTATGAGAACTTTGTGCAGATCAGAACGCTGAAGCGCGCCCAAGATGTACGCAAGCAACTGCTGGGCATAATGGACAGGCACAAACTAGATGTAGTATCGGCCGGCAAAAATACGGTGCGCATACAGAAGGCGGTATGTTCCGGATTTTTCAGAAACGCCGCGAAGAAAGATCCGCAGGAGGGATACAGAACGTTGGTCGACAGCCAAGTCGTGTATATTCATCCGAGTAGCGCATTGTTCAATCGTCAACCGGAATGGGTCATCTATCATGAATTGGTGCAGACTACCAAAGAATACATGAGAGAGGTGACGACCATTGATCCAAAGTGGCTAGTGGAGTTTGCGCCCGCGTTCTTCAAATTTAGCGATCCGACCAAACTCAGCAAGTTTAAAAAGAATCAGAGACTAGAACCGCTTTATAATAAATATGAGGAACCAAATGCGTGGAGGATATCCCGGGTTCGCAGGAGACGTAATTAAAAGATTTGCTGATAATCTATGTAAATATCATTCCGCGTTATAACGATTTTACCTGCTTGCATAATATTTTATTTTTTGAAAATCATAGAGAAAAATATACTCTTAAAAATATACTTTAGCTCAAAGTAGTATTTTTTTTTATCACAGTAATAGCTTGCACCTACAATGATAAAACTTTGAAAAGACGAAGAACATTTTTATTTTGCATGTGTAATATACTATCTTATTCTGATACACATGTAAAAAATATTTTGCTTTATTATTAGGAAAAGCAAGGAGTAAAGACAAGTTATATAGTTATAATATCGCGAAGACATTATATGACTCGATTTTATTATAAACTATAAAGTGTGTGTCACGAGAAAACAGAAAAACATAATGTAATCATTGAATCATATGTACAAGAATGCAATTATAAAGAAGATTATTTACGAATCTTTACAATGTACATACTTGCAAACGTTGTAGTAAATATAACCATGTTCACATTAAATTTTCATTATTTATCAAAAAGATCTGCTTCGGTAAAATACGATACAAATTCTCCAGTAATCAGTCTTTTAGAGAAGAGGGCAATGTTTCAAGATTGTACATTTTCAATCTCTTCCCTCTTGATTAGTTATTAAATTTATTATAAATAAATACATTCTCGATAACATTTAATAAGATGTGACAATAGGGAAAATATTTCCCCATTTAATTTATTCTTCTCTTACTTCTAGTTTCAAATTTATATTTGTATTATGATGAGACCGAGTTTTGTGTGTATGGACGCGAATATGTGTATATATATATGTTTTTCTAAATGAGGATCAATATATTTGGGAGATATCACTTTTTTTTTTGTTTCCGCACTTGTGCTATAGTTCAATAAAATACTATTTCTTGGCTTGATAATATACAAAGTCTTCGGAAAAACAGAATCTCATATTAGTAGAACTATTGAGATTGTTGCTTCTTTTTCACTAATTCTACCAATTGTTTATAGCGCGCTTGGCATTCTTCCTGTAAATCGATGATAATTTCTAAATGTATAATCCACTACACAAGGGGAGTGATAATATATAATAAATAAAAATCTCTTACTTTTGTTTTCCCTTCGACGCAATTTGAAATTTTTTCCCATCTATCTACGGATGCACCCTTGGGGTATTTCGTGAGAGCCGCCTCTAATGCTCTCTGTTGTTCCTGACTCCATTCGACAGTACTGACTGTATTTTCGCTGCGGGTCTTAATCTTCTTTGGTCTTTCTTCTACAACTTCCTCCTCAATTAATTCAATAGGTTTCAAACCTTCGTCTTTTACCTAACATGATAAAATATATGGACTCTCAACCTCTCTAGTCATATTAAAAAATAAAATTGATATAACAATATAATAACCTTTTTAGCCATATGTGTCACTTCCGCGACAGAGCGATTCATAACACTCGCGATTTTCTCCCATCGTTCCGGAGTTCCACCAGGGTATTTTTTCACATATTTTATCAGCTCCAATATGTCATTGTCAGTCCACAAGCCACCAGATATCGTTGGCTTTTCACAGACATGATTCGTGTAATTGCAGTCTTCTTTTTTTACGGCATCTTTAAAATTGCCGCTACTTCTCTCTTGTAGTGTAAAACCAGATCTACGTTTTCTAACGCCGCGCGATGTTGTTTCTGGTTCTGGTTGCTCATTCTCCTGTGCTCTGAAAAGTAGATGTTTAGGTTATTACAAATGATATATAAATTAGATAAGAAAAACAGAAAGTTATATACTCTTACAATGCCTCCTCTTCCTCCTGCTTTTTCCTCTCTTTTCTCTCTTTCAAGAGTTGAGCAATCAGACGAATGGTAGAAGGTATAGCTACTATTGAACCTATTATCCATCTTGGTAATTGAAATGGAAGAGTATTCCACATAGTTGGAGTAGGAATTTTTTCCAAGATGTCTGCCAAATCTGGTACATCCATTTTGCTCTTTCTGCTTTTCTTTTGCATCTTTTGAAGCTTGCTACCTAAAACTTGTTCCTGTAATCATTGCGACAGATATTAATTTTTTACCCCAAATGTAGAAAAAGGAAAATAAAGCGTTTCTTACGTAAGTATATCGTTTCTCGAAATATGCTGCCCATGATACAAGATATTGTCCTATCGTGATAAGTGTGAACAAAATAATACTCATTTCCAATAGTCCCATTTTTCGAACGTGACGATAGTAATACACTGCCGATCGCCAATTTGGCAAACCATTAACGAGTACATTATCATATTTCTGTCGCTTTCCAGAATCTTTTAGAATGTCATAAACAGCGACTAACTAAAAGGAAAATACAAAAGCTGTCAACGTATATATTTTCAATAATTTGAATGTCTTATCTTTATTTCTATGAAGTATATACCTTTCTAAATTGTTGTTCCGCATCCTCTGCCGGATTTTTATCCGGGTGTAACTGCAACGATAAACGTCTAAAAGCTTTCTTGATCTCCGATGCGTTCGCGGACTGTGAGAGAAAAGACATTATTTATTAATATTAATAAAATTCATTTAATGGCATTTAATAGTAGTTAAAATATATTTGTAGAAAAATACCTGTGTAATGCCCAAGACATCGTAAAAATTTTGATTGACCTCCTCGACCACGTCGAACACCTCCAATTCATCGTTGTCCCATGCATGGGAGAATCTAAACAAGATACTCAGAAAATAGAAAATTTCAAAAATGATCAATGGTACATTCATTTTTATCCACCGAATATAGACATAATTATTAATACACGCGCGCGTTTCTTGGTTTCGATGCGAAATCTCAAATTTTATTAGGACATAACGTTCTGCTTTTCGGCATCTTAGGTTAGAAATTTTTTTTGACGCAAGAGTGCCACATTGCAATTATCTCTTCTCTCTTCTCTCTTTTTCGAAATTACGATACGTCAGAATTACGATACGGTGGATACGTATGAAAGTATATAATACGCTAAAAAGAAAAATCGACCAATAGCATCAAATACGGTATGCTTTGTCGCCCGTACTGATTGGCTATCACATTGCAAGAAACTTTCAGAACTTGGACATTTTCTATCTGCTCAATATGTTTGACAAGTTCGTAGATCTCTGCTGATATATTTATCTGTGGCGTTGTCATTGTGTATTTTACTCGATTCTAATTTTCGACAGTTTATTAACACGGTATCAAGATGATGATGGACTATTTTGTGACGAACAATTCCTTAGCACCCGCACCGATGGGTATACAAAGCACGGCGGGTGCTGTGCCTGTAAAAAATGACAAAGGTTAAGTTAAATCCACTAAAGTGAAGCACAAATGTTTCGCGAAACAAAAATTATTTATTTAGATTATAATTTGATATAAGCTTGTGTTCGATTATATTATGAACACCTATCATAACAATGATGACAAAGTAGATATTCACAGTAAAATATAAAGCAATTGTTTAAGATGAAAGAATAATTCATAAGAAATATGCACTTTTTTTGTTTTGCTTAAGAATATTTAGCTCATTTTTATTTATATATGTATATATAATCGAGATATGCAATCTATGTTTAAGTTTTTCTGCCCCTGTTTGAAAAATTACATTATGTTTACAGGAGAATTGTCTATGAAAAAGGTAAAGGTACATCGTTATGTTTCTGGTAAACGGCCAGATTACGCGGCGGCAAGCTCAGATGAGGAATCGGAAGAGGAGGATTTTCTCGAAAAACGTGTACATAAGAGTTACGACGACAACGAAGCCGTCACGGATATTACTACGCACTCGCACGCAAGAATTAGGGACGAGGATGATCCGCGTTTACGAAGATTAACGCGACAGCAAAAGGAAACACCAACAGAAGTGCGAACAGAGAGACACAGACACATTCATGAGCCCGAGTTCATCGAAATTGAATTGGATAGAACGCGAGAGAGGATCAAATTAGAGAGCTCCGATTCGTCCGAGGATGAAGAATTGTCTGACTCTGAGATAGAGAAACGACGAGAAGCCCTAAAGCAACGAGTGCTGTCCAAGAAGGATACGGAGGAAGAATTGATACACGGCGAAGAGGAGGACAGATCGGGCGAAAGTTCGGAGGAGAGCTCGGAATACGAGGAATATACAGATTCCGAAGAAGAGACTGGGCCGCGATTAAAACCCGTATTTGTTCGTAAAAAGGACAGAATCACAGTGATGGAAAAGGAGAAGGAGACGATGCGGCTAAAGCAAGCAGAGATTGAGATTAAAAAACTGGCCGAAGAACGAAAGAGGCAAACTTTGAGGATGGTGGAGGAGGCAGTGCGGAAGGAGACGCAGATGGGCAATAAAGGTAATGTCGAGCAGGAGAGTAAATTGAACGACGTTTGCACAGACGATGAGAATGACGAGGTAGAATACGAAGCTTGGAAATTGCGCGAGCTAAAGAGAATCAAGCGAGATCGCGAGGAGAGAGAGCAACTTGAAAAGGAACGTTTGGAGATCGAGCGCATTCGTAATATGACTGAGGAGGAACGAAGGCAAGAGGCTCGATTGAATCCGAAAATGATTACCAATAAAGCGGCGAAAGGAAAGTACAAGTTCTTGCAGAAATACTATCATCGTGGTGCATTCTACTTGGATAGAGACGATTCTATATTTAAACGCGACTTCTCTGGTGCGACCTTAGAAGACCATTTCGACAAAACGATTCTACCGAAAGTCATGCAGGTAAAAAATTTTGGACGCAGCGGTAGGACCAAGTACACTCACTTGGTGGATCAAGACACAACGCAATTCGATTCACCTTGGATATCGGAGACTGCGCAAAATCTTAAGTTCCATAATAATCAAGCGGCCGGGATGAAACAAGTTTTTGATCGACCTTCCTTAAAAAAGAGAAAAACTGAAAATTGAATCATAAATACTTTCTGTTTTTTTTATTTTTATTTTTTCCGTTTTGTTTTCTTATAACAATTACATATGGAAACATTTGTAGATACAAATATGGCAATATTATTAACAAATATAAAACTTAGGAAAAACAGCATTATTGTAATAATGTATAGTTCGATTTATATTTCATCAATTCATATCATTTTTCATGTTTTTACAAATATAATACTCTAACTCTATATATTTAACATACAAACTTTATATTTAAACGTAAAACTCTTCTCTCTTTCAGATATATATATATATATATGATTTTTCCATAATTTTAATCATAAAAAACAATTCATATTACAATCTAAAATATATATTTACAATTTATTAAAAAATGCGTACAAAATAAATTCTGATTTGTTACGCAATATTAAAAGAAATCATATTGATTTCTTGAAAACATTTTAGGAAATATATGGAGTATATTCTTTCAATAGAAATCTTTTATGTTTATAATCTCACAAGTTGTCAAATTGATGCAAAATATTTATACTTATTTGTTACGAAATATTGAAAATAGAATATTATACAACTCTAAAAAAATAGAATTGATATAAATAGACTCTTTTTTTTTTTTTGTTTTTGATCCATGCAATAAAAGCATATATTAGAGTCAGATTGTGCAGCTAATTGATAAAGTAATAGGAAAATTTGCATCAACTTAACAAACATTTGCATCAACTTAACATTAATTATAGTCTGGAAGCTTATGCAGTAAAAAAGAATAATACCATTATATAATTATAAGATGTGCCGAACGTGAAGAAAGCGTTCGTATCGCTCAACGAATGCTATGAATTTTCACACATCAAGCGCACGAAATACATACATACACACACATACATACATATATATGCTATATAAAACAATTGGATTGAAAAACTTATTTTTCAAGCTGCAATCTTTTTAATACCTGTTTTGCGGCGGCACATTTAGCCTGCTTTTTATTAGCTCCAAAACCATGGAAGAGTTTCTCTTTACCTGCAATAGTTACTTTCAAAGGTACCATGATTCTATCGGTACCTTCAATCAATACAGCATCCCTGCAATTTTATAGATATATTTTATATGCGTCTGTATATATGCATATGAATGTGTATTGCAAGAGTGATATTTTAAACATATAAAGATACAAAAACATGCAACTGATCAAACTTACAGAAATTTGGGACGTGCATCTTTATTTTCATATATTAGTCGTATTGGATGTTTAGGTGTGTCTTTGCTAAATTTATCTGTAAAACCAACACAGTTATAATATTTCGTTTTCAATAAGATTCGATAACAAATCAACATAGATGTATTGAATAAATATATTGAAAATAAGCAAATCACTTTTTAATCTCAATGGAATTGAGATAGTCTCTTACTTAAGTACTCTTTATCGAATCAGATTGTTACTGCTAATAAATTATAGTCCTAATATTATTTATATGTTAAACTTACCAATTTCCTTATGCATAAAGGAATATACAATCTCCCAAACTTTTGTAAGATTCTTGCCACTATCAAGATAGATGGCTCCAATCAAAGATTCAAATAAATCTCCAAGAACTTTTGGAACATCAACATATTCTGCCAGGTTACATTCCTCCTCTTCGAGTAATACCCACAGCAACTTTATTAAAAAACAAAAAAAAAACCGTATATATGATACATTATGTTATTCATTATAAAGTTCATATTGCTCGCATACCTCATCATTAACTACATAATTTCGTTCTTGTTGGAACTTTACAAAGCGGTCGATTGCTTCGTGTAATTTTGGAGCGTAAGACAATAAAGCGGTGTCTAAAGCATATCGTACTGCCACGCAAGCGAATGTTATATTGTTGACGAGGGCAGATCTCAGATCGGTAAGATCACCAGGACTCAAGTTCCCGCAATTTTCATAAATGTAACACGTAATCAAAAAATCTAGAATCATTAAGGAGATGAAATTTATGTATTTTTTTTTGTTGCAACTTCAATTTAAAAGAATTAAGAAAGACGTGTAAATATTTTGTATTCTTTGTCGCATCATGTTGTGTACGATAGATTTTATTTTAATTTTGCCAAACAAATTTTGTATTTACCTAAAATAGCATCTCCTAGAAATTCTAATCTTTGATAACACTCGGTTATTCCATTTGGTGTGTAGGATGGATGAGTGAACGCCTAAAATGAAACAGATAATATCGTAATTTTATATTACATGCTGTAAATATAAACAAAAATGTATGGAGAAATTAAATGTAAAATATACAAGGAGGGGAATTTGGATTGAATAAACAAATATAACAATAAAAGTTCGCGCACGCGCAGCCACTTTTGTAACAGATGAAGATTACCTGCAATAAAAACGCTCGGTTGTTAAATTTATAGCCGATCTTGGTTTCCATATCATCGGCCCATGGCATGTATTTGTTGGGATTCCCCGAATCTATTAAAGGATCCAGTGGATCACTGTACAGTAATTCTTCGATCTGAATATCCGGCAATATGCCGAACCATTTGAGCAGTTTTGCGGCGCCTCTTATACCGTTGCTCTAATATCAAAGAAAGTAATTTTTTTAATGCCTCGTGTACTTGACTATTATAGGGATATTTAGTTACGTTAATTTATGTTTTATTTTTACTCGAACGTCAAACTCAAATGTCAAAGACAACAATCAATGATATTGCATAATCATGTAAATTTACCCTGAGATAAACACCAATCAGCGCTTCTACCGAATCCGCCACGGTTTTATCGGATAAAATTTGGACACCGAGATAATGTTCATATCCAGTTTGCGTGTCTTCCTTGTCCCAGTTTGTCACCGTCCGCTCCATTATAGTTAATGTATTTTCGCTTATATGTCCAGTGAATTTCTCTTCTTCCGGTATTCGCAGTTCATACAATACACTTGGCGCCACCGACTCGTTCAACAATATCTTTTGTAACGGACGTAAGACTGTATACGCAGGCGCGATGAAATTACTCGTAGGTATAAATGCGTCGTTCTTTATGCGTCCAGGAATATTCTTCTTATTGCCACAATAATACAGATTCCGATTACCGATGATTTTCCCCTTCAACGCCGTTAATTGGCCCTCGTTAAATGCCGGGAATTTGTGATATAAAAACAACGATGTAATAAACTTCAAGTAAGAATCGCCTAGAGTCTCCAATCGCTCCAAGTTAAACATATCCATACCTAAGTGAGTAGTCAGTGCCTAAAATCAAATAAAATCTTGCAATATGGATATTCATGTGTAAATTACTTGTATCTAATTATTATTACTCTATTATTACTCTTTTGACACACACAATGAGAAATAATCAATTTTGCTCACATGCATGATTTCTACCACATTAGGACCATGCGAAAGAAAAAGTTTCTCAGATGACACAAGAATATCCAATGATGGCACTGATACCGTCGATCTCATACTGCGACGATCGATATGGCCCTTGTCCGTATTTTTCTATTTCATATAAATGTTATTATTTGAAAGACATGTAATGTATGTAATATGTAATCGCAACGCACACTGCTGTATTTGGCTTACCTGAATACTATCATCACAATTTGTAGATATAAAATGATTATAATATTGAATATCGATCATTTGGATTTGTTCCATATTACGATATAAATCTTGAGGTTCTTTGTCATTCGAGGGACTACAATCTGTATTTCAGTATTATAAAAGTTTATGAAAATAAGCCTCGAAAAAATAAAAATGTTATAATGAATAAGATTAATCATAATGTCATAAGTTTTTTTTATGTACATAATAAATATTCTAGACTGTATACAGGTAATGCATTATCGTCTACGTACCGCTCAATTCAAATATGTTTAGATCCGGTTGCCTTCTTTCGACTATATCGTCCATCATTAGATCTGATTCATTTCTAGGTTCCTCTAACAATTTCACACTATCTTTTTCCGATGTTAAAGGAGACCATTTTTCTAATGTTGAAGATCCTAAATTAGTCTCTCTTGCTATAACTACTCTCAAGTCTTCCGCGATCAAGAGTTGAGAAATTCTGTGAAGAATGGAAGGCAATGTGGTCGCTTTTAACCAGTAGAGAGCCGGAAAGTTTATCTTCCAACATAGTTCTGGGATCAAGTGTTCCTGAAGATCTTCCACCGTGTCATCCGTTTTTTTATATTTCACTGATCCATCATGCAATTTCCTGCGAGTTACATTAAATCGATTAAATGATTCAGACAGTGCAAACGCGTTATTTTACCTCGGTTTTATGTAGTTAATCTTCATTGGTATCGGTTTCACTTCCAACATCGATTGTTGCAGATTTTCTATAGTTAAATTATGTTTTTCTTTATAATAATGCGTGAACGTGTCGAAATCTTCATTAGGAAAGCACGATTCAGGCGTAAGGTCATCACATACTCGCGTAACTATGTAGACATTTGCTGATCCTCTATAAGTTGGAGTGACTAATGCCAATTCGTAATCGCTAGTCCTGAAGTGAAAAGGCTTAGATGGCATAATTCGGTCTACATGTTGATACGTTCTCACAACATCCCAATTTATTTCTTCTTTGTCATTCACTAAAACATTGGGACAAAAATGTAATAATTCTCTCATCAGCATTAATATGTACACATATATTGATTTAATATGAAATTTATAAATTGTAAACAAGTAAACTTACAATGTGTTTCAAACTATGCTACAATATAAATCAGTAACTTATATTTTAATTATATTTACTCACATGGAACAATTAGAAAGGAATTTTCAAGATTTTCGTTATCAAAGAGCATAAAGCTCTTAATAACAGATAAAATTTCATTGAACAATAGAAAATGAAATCTTTTGAGCGATTCAATATCGGTTTCGCTTAGCATCATTGTTGCATAATTGATTTTTATGTCAACATCTAATTGACCATCTTTCATAAAAATCGGAAAGGAAGGTATCTGACGAATGTGAAAAAAAATACATTAATGTATGCATGTAAATCTAAATTAGTATTTCTAGATACTTGTAAAAATGTTTTTACCTTTGGCATACTCTTTGTGGAAAGGATACCAAAGCCATTCTTGTCATTCAGTAATTTATAAAAAGTTATACGTCTATTATCATAGCTTGTCATAGGATATGTAGGAGTACAATTAAGAATATGAAGATGCAATATCTCTAAAGATTTCGGGAATGCGCTGTACAATGCCATTGGATGCTACCC